ATTTGTGAAAAGATATTCCGTTTTTTTTTTATTTTATTTTATTTTTACAAATATTTCACATCCGTTTAAGGAATTGTATAAAAGCACAAAAAAAAAGGATAATATAATTGTACAGAATGGTTTATAAACTTTGTAAGACAACGAAAACAAAAAATAAATAAATAAATAAATAAACATAAACCAACTTTTTTTTGAATAACTTTGTCTGATCATCAGGGAAAGTCTAAAATTGCGTTTTAGTTTTAGGATTTTCATTTCATACCTAAAATTCTTATGAAAAATGATGAAAGTAAATTGCTTAGTGCATTACACACACAATTCGCATTAATTTCCTTTTTAAATTTCAACTATCACAGCATGGGAAGACGATTTTAGATAAAATCTAACTTAAATAAGAGCAGGTGTTAAGTTTTTTTTTTTTCTTTTTTCAAATTATTTCTTTGTCTTTTGTCTCCTTGTCAAGTTAAGTGACATCTTCTTTTCCCTGGGATGAAATGGTTAGATTTTAAGCATAATTGAGAGAGGTGTTAAACACCTCTTCAAATTTTCCACTTTTAATTTTATCTTTGATTTGTTTTCTTTTATTCCGTCATTTTTATACTTATTGAATTGAATGAATAGTAAGTATTATTTTTTCAATCAACAATCTTATAAGATTATTTATTAATTTGTGTATTACATTTGTTACAGCAAAGTTTGAATGTTAAATATTGCTATTAAAACAAAACAAAAAAAAAAAAGTAGAAATAGAAAAGAAGAAAACATAAAATAACAATAACATAAAAATAAATATTATTTGCAAATTTTTTTTTTTTTTTCACAAATTAGTTTGAAAAAAACTTCCTCTAAAAGGATAAGTAAAATAAAAAAAATGCAACAAACATTTTTCTTCTGTTTTTAATGTGCCAAAAATTAAATAACTAAATTCTGTTAACTTTTCCAAATATATAATTTTATGTGACAAAAGTTTTTCACATTCCTTATTGATGGTACAAAAAAGAAAAAAAATAAATAAAAATTTTCTTTTTTTTTTTCGACATTCTTTCATTCTGCAATCATTTATAAAATGTTCTAGAAAAAAAAAAAAAAGGAAAGAAAAAGCAGAATGAACTATTCAAGCAAATTTTTATTTTAGTTAGAATTATTAAAGCCTTCTTTTCAACTCTGTTCTTAAAATTTTGATTTATTCCATTTAGCAGTATGTATATTTCCTTCTTTCTGATTTATTTTTATTTTATTTTTTTATTTTACTAAATGCTTTTCTTTTCTTTTTCCTTTTCTCACTTTTGGCTTTTTTTTTTCCTTTCCTTTGCAAAAAAATAATTTTAATGCATACTTTTCATGGATCATAGTGATAATTTTATGCTTTTCTGCATGCATTTCACATACTTTTTTTTTTCCACCACTAAAGTAATAGCAATTTCATTTTAACTTTTTTTTTTTTTTCTTTAAATTTTGTCCATTAAAATTATTCGCTCTGATATTTTATGATTTTTTCGTTTTTTTTTTCTTTTTATTAAAAATCTTTCCATTTTACTTTATTTTTCATTTGCTTTTTTATTTGTTTGTTTGTTTGTTTAAATGCATTGTTAGGTTACTTTTGAATACATGTATCAATCAGTTCATATTTTGCTTTTTCTTCATTTTTCTTCTTGAAAAACTTTTTTATATTTAATTAAACTTGCCTTAATTATCATTTCATTCCTAAATTATTCGTTTATTTGCTTAGTTACCAAGCAAATTTTAAACTTTTTCCATAATCATTTTCAATTTTCTTTTTTTATTATTAGAAAAGAAAAGAGAAAAAACTATTTTTCCTTTTGTCTTTATTGAAATTTATTTTTATTTGAATTCTATTTCTTTTTTCATTTTTTTTTTTTTAGTTTATAATATTCAAAAAAAAAAAATGAAAAAAGTTTTTTACTTCCAGTATTTTTCATCTTTTGTTCTTGTTTCACTTTTTTCCTCATCTAATTTCGATCTTTTTCTAAACTTTGATAATTTAATCAATGAGTCGTTACTAATGAATTTAAATAATTTAACTAAGAAAAAACGTTGTTTAAAGTTAATTTGTATGCTTTCTAGATTAAATTCAAATTTGTAGAGATTTTTTTTATCAGTCCAAATTTCTGAGAAATTATTTTCTTCTAAACAAGAATTTCATTTTTTTACAAACAATTTAGAATGAATTTCATGGAAACTTTTTGATTTTGTGATTTACCGTCTTCGCAATCTGATTTGATAAAAAAAAGAGGAAATATTAACATGAAATGATATAAGTAAAAGATTCTAAGGATTCTATTCCGGAAATGTAATATTGAAAAGTGAGCAAAAGTTGAATACTTTGCTTGTCGGTTTAAATTTTTGACTTTATTCAATGTTATTATTATCATTTTTAGTAAATTTCTTCCGGTAGTTTTCCCTTTTTCCGGTAATTTTTCTCTGTCTCCAATCTATGAAACATTCTTGGTCATTTGAATAATAAAATTGGAATTTTGGAACAAACGTAAATTTATCCGTTAGTTTCCTCTCTCAAATATAAAAAAGTGCTAGCAATTATGCATTTTCGTTGCTAAAAGCTTTGATTTCTTTTATAAAAAATTGCAACCTTTTTTCTATTTTTTTTTCAATTATTACTTTTTACATAATAACGTTAAATACTTTTTATACAACGTTAAATACTTTACTACAAAATGCGATGGAATATATTTTCAGAAAGTTTTAAGTAAATCAAAATTAAAGACTTGAAAAAGATGTGAAATAAATTGTTTTTTGATTAGCTAAGTTATAAAAATGAAAGAAAGATGCTGCTAAGATAGTTATTATTAGATAATATCATAATAATGAACAAAAATTTAAATAATAATGATAAATGATGACATTAATAGTATTATAACTAATGATTTCTTTTCATAATTTTTTGATTATTAAAATTAAGAAAAATACTAAAATTGAAAATTGAAATAAAATGAAAAAGTTTCGAAAGCAAAAACGTGAAAAATAACAAACATTTATATTAAATATAAACTAATTTATTAAATACTTAATGTTATATTATTATTACTTATTATTATTGATATTATTATGTTCTTATATTGTTATTACTATTATTATTATAATTATTATTAAATCTATCGTTAATTTTAGCATCACAAAAGGTTCTTTCTCTCAAGAGAGAAAAATTAAAATCAAATTTTTTTCCAAATAAAAAATTTTTATTCATTTATGCTTTTTTTTCTTATGAACTATCGCAATAATCCATAGATTTTTTTTTTTTTTTGCTAACTTCTTTCTTGACTTTTTTCTTTTTTTAAAAAGAAAAAAATTTCAGTCTTTTTCCGGAAATAATTTATGCTTTTATGATTTTCATTATTAATCCAAAAATTTTCATTTCCTTTTTAAAGTATTCCAATAATTCGAAATATTCATCAAATAATCCGATAATTCTTGATAATCTCACCTCACCTGGAATAGTTCATTTCATCCATAAACATTCATTTTTCTTTCAAATCACATTTTTCTCCTTTCCCTCATCATTTTTCTAATTTAGTTGTTAAGCATAAAAGCTTTTTATTGCTATTATAATTTGAAGGTAGTAAATGCTTAGGCATTGATTATTAACCTTTAATGGCATAAGAGAGAGAGAGAGAGAGAGAGGAAAGAAAGGGGAAAAGAAAGAAAGAAAGAGTGGATGGAAGGAAGATGGAAAAGATGAAATATTTCTATGATATATTAATTGTTGTTTATGCTTTTAAAAATCTTTTTTTTATTTGACTTTTGGTAAGTAAGTTAAAGACAAAAAAAAAGAAGTAACAATCAATAATTGTCATTTTTTATTTTTAAGAAAAATAATTTTTTACTTTTATAAAATAATAAAATTAATTAGCTCATCATTAATTTTCTCCCATTTTTTATCGAATATTAATTCATTCAATTGACTCTAACTTCAGTCCAACACTTTCATATCATTTTTATCATCCTTATCTATTATCATTATTAATCATATTTATGATTCTGAAATATTTCAATTATTGATGATAATGCAATCAAGTTGTGATCATTTTAAATGTAAATATAGTTATAATATACTTTACATTATTTGTCAAATAATCTTATTTTAATGGTTAAATTTATTTGAATATTCATAAATTAGCCATGCTAACACTTATCCTATCTGTATATACCATTTGAATTTGTTAAGTAAGGGAAAATATTTCATTCGTTTAATTAGTATTATCAAATATTTAAATGTAATATTTAACTTATTTAATAATTACTACTATTTAATCTATCTAGTAATTATCAGCATTATTCATAATTAGGATTGCTGTCACCTCTATTACTATTATTATTATTCATTATTACTATTATATTACTGCTATTATCATTATTATCACTATAATTATATTTCTTATAATTATTATTGAGTTACAACGATTTCATTCAAATAAAATAAGTAAAAATGAAAAATGAGAAAAACTATTTCTACATGTTATACCTCTCTTTAATCTTTATAATGCTTTTTCCACTCTTTTTTTTTAATATTTTAGATTCATTTTCACTAATAATAGTAATAATAACTAAGGATGTATTATTGGATATGTATTCCTATACCACTTATATCATATCTGCTATCACTTTCATTAATTTTTTACTATCTTTTTGGGATTTATTTTTTGTCTATTATTATTATTAATTATTATTATCATTAGTATTATTACTATTATTATTAATTATTATTAGAATTATTATTAATTATTATTATCATTAGTGTTATTATATTACTATTATTATTGCCTTTTTTCCTTTTTTTCTTTAGTAATTCGAAATTTTTCGAATTTTATGCAATTTTCACCTTTAAAAATATTATTATTTTGGAAGAAAAGAAGAAAAAAACAACGTCGATACTTACTGTTATTGTTATTTTTATTATTATTACGATTACTATTATTATTATTGCTACAACAATAGAAACAACAACAATAACAGCAGTGTCATTGATGAATCAAATTGGAAACAAATATAAAATATCCCAGACTGATTCTGATAATAATAGCATTATTAAATGGGAACAATTTAATTCAAATGAATTAAATTTTGAAAATTGTCGAAATACTTTGTTGGATAAATTTGAAAATTTGGCAAATCAATTTGCTGCTGGTTGGAAATATCATATATTAAATACAAATGATATTAAAGAAGCATGGATTAATTTTGAAGATTTTTACACTGAAATATGCTCATTAGCAACAGAACGAGAATTACTTACTGTTAATGATGAGATTGAGTCACGTGATATCACGGAATCACTTTTCACGTATTCAATTACTGATGAATATCGTACACCGGAACAATGTGATGAATTGCTAACACGAAAAGTTGATGCATTAGCAAGTAAATTATCACCAAATTGGACAACAACGATTACAAATATTAATGATACATCAAAAGCATGGAAAGATTTTAAGCGTTATTTTCAACAAATATGTGCTCAAAATCATCGTAGTAAGTTTTATTAAGTTTTATTTACTTTTTTTTTTCTCTTTCTCTCTTTCTAATATTAATTTTATAATTATTCTATTATTAAATGAATTTCATTGGGTCTTTTCTTTTTTTTTTAACTTTAAGGTTGATAAAAAAAAAAGAACCAAAAAGTGCATCATATTATCATAGTACTGTTAAGAAGTGTTGGATTTATTGATGTATATAAATTATTCTTTATACAATATTATAATTGATAACTGATAAGATTATTAATTGATAAATATAAATTATTGATTAGAAATGTGAACAAATATTAGCAACCAATTGTTTATGCTACATTACTGTATGGCAAGTTGAAAGTATTATTTAACTAATTTAAAATTATCGTTCTAATAAAAATGAAAATTATTGATTTAATATGCATAAACAATTGAATAGCAATTATTAATGTTTATATACTTTTTAAGTTATATATTAATGAAATAGAATTGAATTTGTATTTTTTTTATTTTTCATTTGCTAACATCAATTTTTCAATTTATTTATAACAATTTCAATCATTTCATATTTTTTTAAAAATAGCAATAATTGCAGAAAAATTATTTTGGTTTATTAAAATTCAAAATTTCTCTCTTTTTTTTTTGCTTTTCATTCCTAGTAATTTATCAGTTATTTATTAGGCAACAATTTATTTTGTTTTTCGAAATGTAAATGGATGGTATTTTTCAGTTCAATTGTTGTTCTCATTTTTTCTATTCTATAATCGAATACCAAAATTAAAACAAAAACTAAATTTTTTTATATTTATAAATAAAATTAATTATATTAGTTCATCAATCAATAATTCCACCTCAAACAAAAATTATGGTAAAAAGAAAAAAAATATTTTATTATTTTTCCTTTTTTATTTATTTGCATTTTTCTGCAAAAATACGAAATGATAGCTTAAAAATTATTGTAGCACTTTTCAACCAAAATATTTTTAAATGCAATTAGAACTGAAGTAATTAAATTTGATGGCAAAAGGAAAATAATATAATAAGGAGAGAAAGGAAGGGAAAAAAAGAAGGGAATTTAATTATTAATACAAAAATTCATATAACTTTATAAATAAAGCTGTATTTTTTTTTTGCCTTTTCATTTGTTCTTTTTTCGTTTCTATTATTTTTCTCTCTTACAACTTCAAATATTTCTTTATTTAAAAAATTTTTTTATTCTTTTATTTCTCATGTGTAGATTTTGTAGCCTAGCTATTTAAATTTTATATAAAAATTAAACTTTCTTTTTAACTGGAAGCAAAAAGCAGAATTTAAATTTATGTTTCACATTTTTTTTTTTTATTAATAATAGCACTTTCATATTAATTACTATTTAAATCATTGGCAGTAATTTATTCCACTATAAATCTAAAATTTTTTAACTATTTCATTTAAATTTTCTAAATGTTCAAAACAATTAAATCTTTAACTTTTTCATTACTCTGCTGTACTACTAACCTTTGACCCTGTACTTTATTACCCAATTCCATATTATCAAATTTAATTGTTAATATTTGGAATTCATAGAAATACCAAATATTATTGCTTATTATTTTAATTATAATTTCTTTTTAAGCAAAAAAAAATTTATGAGAAAAACTGTAGTATTTAAGGAAAATATCCATCATTTTTCATTAATATCTACACAAGAAAGATTATATTTCAAATTAATAGAAAAATTTTTTATTATAAATGAATACTGAGTAAATCTTTTACGAATATTAATTAGAAAGTAATTATTCATTAAATTTTCCTGTTGTTATTCATATTCACTATAGTTTTTCCGTAAATATTTGTCTTAATATTTTACTATTTCAAGTTTTCAAAGTTTTCAAGTTTTTTTTTTTTTGCTAATTTTAGTATCGCTTAAGTTATTGATAAGAAAATCTAATATTAGCTTATCAATTTTCTTCGATATTTTAATTTTGCTCTTTTTTTTGTGATAAAAAGAAAAATTAAATTGCAGTATTTCTCAAAAATATGAAAAAAAAAGGAAATGAAATTACGGAATTTCGATTTTCTCAAATAGCGAATATTTATCGCATTATGAATGATTCTATTTATTTTTGATACTTTTATTCGTTATCAATTTTTTTTATTACTTCTACTTTTCCTTCTACTATTAATAATATAGAAAATAATATTAATAATATAAAAAATAGCAATGATATAAAAAATGTGTTTACTTTAATATAACTCATTTTAGTTTTATATATCAAAAAAAAAAAAAAAAAATTTGAATATATTTAAAATTATTTCTTCCATAATTATGACACTGAATGGCAATATTAATTAGTAATAATCATTTTCGTATAAATTCATTACTAAGAAAAATGTTTACTTGTTTATTTAATTCATTTTTTTTTTTGCATGTAGTAGTGACGAGATAGTAACAATAATACTAAAAAAAATAGTAATTATGCAAATAATAAATAATAACGATGACAATGACTCATTTCATTCTTTAATTTAAATTAATGTAGCCTTTATTTATCCTTTGTTTTGTTTCTTATTTCTTTAATGCTAATGATGATGATGATGATGATGATGATGATGATGATGATGATGATGATGATATTGGTGATAAAAATGATAGTAATGATACTATCATCATTCTATTCTTTTAGCTAAATTAATGAAGATTTATTTATCAATTTCGATAAAAATTCTTTCGTTCCATTTTATTTCGTCTTCTGGGACAATTCCTGTTAAAGCATCAACTTAAATTAAAAAAAAAAAAAAAGAAAAGAAAAGTGGAAATAAAAAGCTATCTTTTACATCAATTTCGTTCCTTTACATCATTTCCTCTTTAATTTTTTTTTTCTTCTTATCCCTCTCCTCTCTCTTTTCATTTTATCTTTTTGTGGATGATTTTAATTAATTTTCCTTTAATGCTAAACTTTTTAAAACTTTACAAATGATAAAGTATCATTTATATGCTATCAAAAATGACAGTAATCTTATATTGTTTTATCATTATTTTAGCATTCATCATTCGTTTTCTCCCTCTCTCTCCCTCTCCCTCTCTCTCTCTCTCTCTTTCTTCTTCTTCCCTTGTTATCTCTTTTCCTTCTTTAACTTTTCAGAAATTTGTTCGAGATATGCTTTGATATTCCCTCGGGAATACTAGTTATTGCCCATCAATGAATTCATACCGATGCAATATACCGCCCTCTTCTTTATTTACTAAAAGTTTTTCAATCATCACTTATAGCGTTCAGCTTTTTCTGTTACTGTTTAACTTTACTTACTAACTTCATTTCATTTTTTTTTTTTACATAGTTAAATTTCATATAAGCGTTTAAACTAATATTTAAATTATTGTAGATGACAAAATAAAGATTTTATTATTTTTTTTTTCAAATATTAGCAATCATTTTAAATATATTTAAACGATTCTGTTGGTTTAAAAAATTTTTTTTGTCGACGTTTTGTGAAAAATAAACAAAGTTTAAGTTAAAAAAAAAAAGAAAAGAAATTGAGAAGAGTAGATAATTTAAATTTTCTTTCATTTTTTTCTCTATAGTTGAAATTTGAATAACATTATATCATTTTTTTTTTTAAAGAAAAAAAAAGTTATTCATTATTTATTCTCTTAATTAAACGTATAGTAAACACAGGTGTATATTATCTTTTTTTTCTACTTTCTTATAATATCTCAATGGTTAAATCTTTCTCTCTTTTATCATTTAAAATTTTGAATTAATTCTATCATCCAATGAAATTTAAAAAAATGCTTCTTTTATCCTTCTTTGATAGAAATTTTTAATTTTATGTTTGATTTTTTTCCACTTTTTAGAAAAATCTTTTTATTAATATATAAAAATAATTTCTTTTCAATAAAAAAGATAGCAAATTTTTGAAATATTTCATTGGATGAAATGTTTTTTTCTCTCTTTTTTCTCGTCTTTCACTTAAAATTTCTTTCTTCTTTTCTTTCTATGGCGTGCAAAGATTTTATGAAATGAAATTAGATTTGAAAAAAGAGAGAAAAAAAAAAAACATTAGTTTGCTTAGTTGAAATAATGGTTATGCAACAGTGGTTGTTACATAAAAGTATGAAACGTAAACGACGACAGACACGAATACGTACGAATGCTGCTGGACGTTTGAAACAGCAACGTGTTCGTAAATTACGTGTGCAACATTTATTAAAAGAATCATCATCATCATCATCAGCAGGCATGTATAAATCAATTAATAATCATTTTGATGAAGTATCTCTTTCATAAAATTTCTGTCTTTTTTTTTTACGTCTTTGTGACAAACATTTAATTTTTGTATCTATCGAAAAAAAAAAAAAGTGAAAGAAATGAAAAGTATAAAAATAAAAAAAAAAGTGTAATAAAATTCTTTTTTCACTAACTTTTTTTATTAACTAAATATAAAATTTATGAGAAAAAAATTTTCGATTTTCTAAAAACTCTTTTTTTACTCTTAATTTTTTTTTTTAGTCAAATAAACATAAAAAATTATGGAAGCAGTTTTTTTTTTTTTTTTTTTTATTTTATCAAAACTATTGTTTATCCCTTTGTTTTTTTCCTTTCTAAAGAAAACAAAAATAGATATATTGGAAGAATTGATAATTTTATAGTCCATAAAGGATCATTACTGGACCGATCGGATGATACATCGATAGCATTTATGCAAAAAAATTTCAACAATTCGACACAGGAAGAGAAATTAAATGATAATGAAGGTGACGACATGACTGTCTCCAATGCTGATTATTTTAATGCTATCATTCATGCAATTATTCCAGGTCCACTGGATATTCCATCACTTTATCGTACTTATACAATGTTACCATTAACTAATGATAGAAGAAAAAATGATGATACATTCTTATCAGCAACAATTAAAACTGATAAACAAGCATCTATGATTAGTAGTACAACGATTAATTATTCATCCATTTTTATTGATAAAAATATTATCACTAATACTAATAATACTACAATTCCAATAACTACAAGTGCAGTAGGAATTGCTAAAAT